CATGAAAACACATATATGTATGTACGTACTAGGGCATTCAATCCGAAGCATTTAACAATCCCGGCATTTTGGGATGCAAAAATTCTAATCCCGGTGTACCCGGATTTTTCGTGATTTCGACTCTATCACCACTTTCGCATTTAACAGTAGGTTCGACTTTTTTAAACCACACAGATTCATTGGCACCGTTTTTGGTCTTACAGGGATCATGATGCACCTTAGTAAAAGAGTCCGTAATTTAATGTCTAAATATTTGTATAGTGTTCTTAAATGTCTATATTAATTGTAAAAACTCCTAGCTAATATCTTCAGAAATTCAGTTTCCACGAAACGGCTACAAAAACAAAAAATTGTGTTTTCAATTGCTACCAGATTATTCGTTACTATACAGTTCTTGCATAAAGTGTTTGAACAAGTACAGTTATTCAGGCAGGTTCTGAAATTCACGTCCGAGTGCAATGGGCTCACGTTCACTTTGAATCAAAATTTTCGTGTTCTGTATATCTGGTTTTTCATGCCAAATGAATAATTTTTTTCGTTTTCAACATCTCTTTAATTCCGTGACTCAGTAAAAATCTCGGGATCCCAGAGCTGTAGTCCCGGGATTTCGGGACATGGAAAAGTGTCCCGGAATCCCGGGATTCTGGATCACGGGATTGAATGCCCTAGTATGTACATATGCCATGAAAGAATAAACTGGCGGCGAAGAAAAATGTCTTCATGGATAGCCGTACACACTACATACATATGTACATACACAAGCGATTATATGCTACAAATTGTGTCAATTTCTCAAATCATTTCTATCCTCTTTATTTAGCCATTTTCCCCACACATGGGGATATGTTTTCATGTACATACATATGTACGCAGTAATTCAATTGTGTGTGTTGTTAAATAAGGCTTTTCTTACCTTTTAACCAGGCGTGCGCTCCAATGGCATGCGTTTAAAAAATGAAGCCAACCAGCTGCCCGAAGAAAGGCATTTCTAGTGCACACACACATTCTTATAAAAATGTACTTTTTTAGGCCCAAAAGTAGCTCTTATATACATATGTATGTACATTAGGCAATGGTGAAAAACGGACATAAATACATATTTTCTTTGTCAAAATTTGGTAAAAAAGTTACCGTAGGGAACTCCGAGAAAAAATTTTACACGAAAAAAATGCATACATATATGTTAATCAAATTTTCATATGTAGTACAAAAACACGCATAAACATACATACAAAAATCTAGTCAACGAAATAAAAAAAAATAATAATTTTAGAAACCAAAATTTATTCACAGTCATAATTCGGTTGACCAGGAATTTTCCATTCATTAGTTCATTTTTTTTCAGTACAAAATTTTTTTCTCGAAGTTCCCTGTGGGAACTTTTTGTACAAAATTGAAAAAAAAAATAATTTTGGATATCTCATCATTAATCATTCTCCCGCCATGTAGTAGAAGATCCGAATTAGGCACAACCTTCGGCCATTTGTTTAATGGACGAAATCTATTTTGTATGAAATTTAACGTGTTAGGAAATATTTCGCGATTGGGTTGCCTGATAAAATCCTGGCCAGACATTTTTAATTAAATATTTAAAAATTATTATTTTTTTTTTAATTTTGCACTCATATGTATGTTTAATGAACAAAATACATATATACCAGTCGAAATAATAAAGCCTATAGAATATTTTTAACAAATGCAAGAGCATATGCATAAGATCCTGAACAGCCCTACTATGTTTTCGCTTTACATACAATATTAATTGATCCTAAAGATCAACCAAAATTCTTTTACAGAAAGATATGTATGTATAAATATTCGTGACGTATCGTATATATGTATACACATTGGCAACGTTGAGTTCATACAAACCCTGCAGGAAAATTAGGAAGTTTTCTGTCTTTTACTTACCACTATCAGACTAGATAGAGAGTACTTACCGCCGAAAATAGAGTTTCAAAAACCTTTCGACGCCATTTTCCCCAGAAATCATCCAAGAAGATAAGGCCTTCTTAGCGGTAGCCATTCTAAAAGCTTACCTTAGAAGGGGTGAAAGAAGGGTCTTCCTGCATTCCGTCTCTTCTATAATTGTGTATTCGTTTATTCCTAAAAATTGTGCCCTTCTTTTGTGCAAAATATGTTTGATTTGACAATTAACACTGTAAAGCTCATGATTTTATTATGATAATTTATTTAATACTACTTTCGCCATTTTAAGCAGCAATCTGTTTTGCAGTGCAGAAATCTCCGCTAAGAAAGCTTCAAAGGGCAGAGAACGTGCGTTGTTTACCTTACTAGAGTGTGACATGAATTAAATATGCGGCAGTGCACCCTACAAAATAATTTTTGGAAACAATTCTGTGGGTAGTGAAAGTAGAAGCCCTTCAACTTATGCCAGCTCATTCCAAAAATAAAGGAGAAAGAAATGCCGAGTTGAAGTCCTTTTGATGGATTTTCCACGAAAACCATGCGGTACTCATTCAAAATATATATATAGGCCTCTTCCGATCACACATCCTCTAGATCACTGAGAAAGTCACCGTGAAGTGTTTTTACTATAGCTGGGTTATAGCACAGCAGGTTTTGTGAAGTCTCGTTCTCTTCGTCATCCAAAAAACTTCTGTAGTTGTCAGTCTTGGAAGAAAAAGTCTAGAGGTCCGGTAGATTGGGCCTACAGGCAAACGACTACTGTTGTAGCTGTCGTGATGTTGAGGAAATTGTTTCGTTCTTCCGTTATGATTATGAGCGTCTTTCCGAAATGGATTCAGCCAGTATCTATGATTTTGAACGCTTACTCAGAGCCAGAGTGTTCAGATTTGGTGATTTTTTTGAGATATTTGCGCGTAAAAATTTAGGAAACCGCCTTTGGCGATTTTTGGCGATTTTTCCCCTTCATTTCAATGTTCTGTGCGCTATCATGTAAATGCGTCGAAGCACGTGATGAGTAGGTTATGGAGTTAGAGCTTTAATTTTGATGTGCCAACACTGTTTATTTTTATCAATTTTGTTGTAGCATATCGAACATTAGCCAATATTAAACCACCATTTGTGACAACTCCCTATGAATGTTCAACTTGCAATTTCATATAATAGATTTATTAATTGCGCATTCCTATTGGGAAATGTGTTCAAACACATTTTTTATTTAAGTATGAATATTTTTAAAGAAAATTGTTTGTACATCACTACCATATAAGAGATTTGTGTTATTTATTATTACCCTGAAGGCATTATATTCGTTTTTGGTTTTAAAAACTATATTATAACAACATCGCATTTTTAAAATAAAAGATTTCCTAAGACGATTTAAAGAATTTTATAAAAAAAAAAACGTTGGCGATTTTTTGGTGATTTTTTTTTTTCAGAAATAGCTCATTTCTTTTTAAACAATCTGGACACCCTGCTCAGAGCAACGAATTGATTTTATTGCTAGGGTAAGAGGAGGAACGATTTGGCTGGTTAGCGGTGCGTACTACCACTCCATGGGACCAGTGGCAGATACAGAATTTAATTGGAGCCAAAAAAATTACAGCCATCTAACCCTAATTTATTTTTCATGGAAATATAGGTTCGAGTATTTTTATGAAGTGTGAAGTAAAGTGTTTTGGGATATAATATTACTTTTCATTTTGTGAAAATATATGTCAAGGACTAAATGTTAACTACCACATCCTCGAATTTCGTCCTTCTAACTTTATTATTTTCTTCTTCTTCTTTTTTTGGCGCTGTAACCGCCTAAGCGATTTTGGCCGATTTCAGCAAAGCACGCCAGTCGTTACTCCTCTGTGCCAACTTACGCCAATTGGAAACGCCAAGTGAAGCCAAGTCCTTCTCCATCTGATCTTTCCATCGCAGTGGGGGCCTCCCTCTTCCTCTGCTACCACCAGCGGGTTCCGAGTTGAATACTTTCAGAGCTGGAGCGTCGGTGTCCATTCGAACGACATGACCAAGCCAGCGGAGTCGCTTTATTTTAATTCGCTGCACTATGTCCATATCGTTGTAAAGCTCATACAGCTCATGGTTCCATCGTCTGCGGTACTCGCCGTCGCCAACGCGTAAAGGACCGTAAATCTTCCGCAAAATCTTTCTCTCAAACACCCCAAGAGCCGCCTCGTCGGATGTTGTCATTGTCCATGCTTCTGCGCCATATACCAGCACGGGCATGATGAGTGACTTATAGAGTGTGGTTTTCGTATGTCGAGAGAGGACTTGACTTCTGAATTGCCTACTCAATCCAAAGTAGCACTTGTTGGCAAGGGCGATTCTGCGTTGGATTTCAATGCTGACATTATTATCGGTGTTAAGCTTGTTCCCAAGTAAACGAAATTCTCTACTTTATTAGTTTTAGATAAAGAAAATTTTATACTTCTCTTAATAAGATATTGATAGTTACAATATACATACATAAATAAAGATACTTGAATCATTATTATGGAACCATGTATGCACTCTAAAGAAACAAACTGAACCTATGCTGTACGGTTTAAGTACTTTAATTGTTTTGTATACAAGGGCGTAGCCAACCTTTCACTTGAGGGGCAGGAGTTTATATAGAGGGAAAAAATTTGTTTAACTAAATTTTTTTTTTGTATATAAATAGAAATTTGTGGGTTTAAGAAAGTATGAGTTTTCTGGTATCCTTTAGAACGATACCAATTTTCTAAAAATCGGTTTATAATTTTTTTGTTTAAAATATTTTCTTTATAAAAAAAGGTATTTTTTTATTTAAAGTGTTTTTTTCAAATTTTTATATACGAATTATATAAATATGCATACCAGAAAAAAGGGGGTTTAATCACGTTCACAACGATACCAATTTTTTAAAAATAAGTTTAAAATTGTCAAAATAAGGTTATATACCATTTAGATAAGACCAATAGGCACACTACGTCTATATTATTAGTTTTTTAGTTATTAACATATAATAATAAAAAATAATTTTTTACCAAAGGCCCTATTTCGAATTTCGAAGGCCCATATCTCGATTTCGGAGGCTAACTTCGAAAAACGGAGAAATTACTTTTTTAGCTATGACTCAATCTCTTAAAAAACTTGGTTTGGTCCAATACCCAACCGAGTGCCGTACAGTGTAATGATTCCATTATCTTCATTTATATATAATGTAACTATCAAATCTTATAAGAGAAGTGTAAATTTTTTTATCTAAAACTAATAAAGGTAGAAACACGAAATTCGACGATGTAGTAGTTTACATATTAGTCCTTGATATATGTATATATTTTTTTAAAGGACATTTTCAACACTAACATTTAACCGACACCCATATTATTGCTTTTCAATGCACTAAATCTTTTAAATAATTTTTTTATTCAATCATATCCCAGAAATTTCAAAGTCCTTTAAAAAAAATCCTGACGTCAGAGAGAAAAACTAAAAACGCAGTAATACTAAAGTTGGCGCCTAGTTTTGTGAATATATTGTGTGTTTCGTGTGTTTTAAAATTTTTGGTTTTTGTCGCACGGTGTTACGAATCTATAAGTAAAAAAAGTTTCAATCAGCTCCAGATTTTGAGAAAAATTAGGACAAAGTGTCAAAAATCGAATTTTTTGCAGTATTTGAGAACTTCCAGCAATAAAACAAAAGCTGACACAACCTTCCACTTAAGCTTAAATTAAAGCCAGAGCAACAAGTTAACAAGCCATACTTCGAGACGAGTTTCACTACATTTCGGGTCCTTGGAGTCGCCAAGTCGACTACGTATTATGTTTCGGCTGCGGAAAAACAGGCGATCATTTTTTCATAAAACTATTAACAGTTTACCAAAATAATCTAAAATGAGTATCATTTGCGAATTGATTTCCCTACAGGGAGAATATCTTCAAAAGCTCAAATGTACAATTTTACGAGAAAAAGGAACAACTACAATGCACCGTGAAAAAAAGCGTATCAAAAATTAAAAGGCCAAAAAAAACAGCTAGGAAAAATTTACAATAAAGGCAAACACGAGTATGTGCCCCTCAACCACCCATCTTGCCCACCATACTTACACACAACTACATATTTAAATACACATTGGAACGACTTGCGGGCCTCCGCATTGTTGTCGTGTTGCGGCTTATTTAGTGGGGAGATGAATTGTGAATTGGTGTTGACAGTGGTGGTGGTGGGGATGGCGGGGAATATGTAAAAAAGGAGT